CCTTGAGCTGCCTCCCCCTCCCGCCAGGGCTGAGCCAGCACTTGTGCTGCTTGCAAATCATCCATGCACGAGTCATCCATGCACGGCGGGAAGCCAGTCGTCTGTGAAGGCTGCCTCTCTGCTGGGCAGGGGGAGGTTGCCAGTCTGGGTGGTGAGGCAGGAGGCGCCAGCTGCCAGGGACTTTGGCCAAGTCCCCCCCCTCGCTAGCCCTCAGTCTCCCTGTCTGCAGGATGGGAGAGTCGGGCAGTGAGGCCCAGAAGGGCTGCCCGGGTATCCGCTTCCCATGAGGCGTCTCAGTGGTGTCTCCTGGGCTCCATGTTCCTGGTAGGGGGCTCGCTCGGCCTGTGCCTTTGCCGCTGGGCTCCTGCTTTTCGTCTGCCCCTCTGCCCCCTTCTGCCTGCTTCTGCCCCGGCCCTCGGCTTGCTAGGGCGGGCTCTGTGGGTACTCTCATTTCCAATCAACCTGACCTAGATCCCTGCCTCTGGGACCCTCTGACCTCGCCCATCCTGGGACAGGAAGAGGGCGGGGCCGCGGTCTCATCTTCAGCTGTTCGCTGTGAGGGTTCTGGTGCTTACTGAGGGGGTGAAGGGCTCCTGTTTACCCATCATTCACTGGTCCACTCATGAGGTCATTCAGGAAGCTTTACTGAGGCAGGCCGTGTGCCACCGTGTGCAGAGGACAGCCACGGCCGTTCTGTGCAGGGAGGTCACTCTGGCTCCCGGGGAGACCTCCGGGAGAAGGCGCCTGTGGGATGGAGCAATGATGGTGGCCCAGGTGCTGGCAGGGCCTCGAGAGGAGGGTCTGAGTGGAGGTGTGGCTGCCGTGGGGTTGGTATTGGAAGGAGAGGACTCAGAGGTGGCCCAGGGTCTGTGGCTTGGTCGCTGCATGACCGCAGACCGGTCCTGGCTTCGTGGCCCGGCGGCCGTGGACCAGTCTCTTGCCTTTGTTCAGCCTCTCTTTGCTCATCTGTGAAATGGGCATCACAGTGACTGGTTGGCAACGTCAAGGGGTCAAGTGAGAAGCCAGGGAAAGAATTGATCGGGCAAACTGTTGCGTGCCGAGGCAGCTGTCTGCGCGCTGGGGCTGACGGGGAGCTGGCGGGAGCCACCAAGGTCCTGAGGGCCGGTGGGCAGCTGGGCCCCATGTCCTT